TATGCAAACCCCCTCGGAACCCGCCCTTCGGAACCCGTCGTAACGGTACACGATCAGTCGAGAACCCCATTGAGCTCGACCAGAGCACCATGTTTCCGGGGCAAATTTTCTGATGCCGTCCACGTAGATGGCCACTATGAAGATTTTCTTATGAAATGAAATGCGCTCTTCAATTCTAAGTTGGGAGCACACGCTTTGAGCTGAGCAAAGTGTGATTAAATCCATTTGAGTCTGGAGACAAAATGTCTTTTTTTATTGGCCCCCTGTATTATAATGATTACGAACAATTTGACCCTTCAGCAAAAAAGTATGGTATGATTGAAATTCCCCACCTATCCAGTAGTCCTGTTCATTTCCGCCGTCCGTATCCTAGGTCACATCAGCATACCCTAGCATAGACTTCCTAACGTTCGCCACTCAGGCCATATATCTTCCGTTCTATTTGGTAACATATCATAGTCACTTCAGGGGCCCTCTTTTTAACCTGGCATCCACAGACTTCAACAAACTCCTTGACAAGAAAGCAGCACAAGTTCGAGGGTGCTGCGTGCGTGCTTCACAACATGTCTTTAAATATGTATGAGGAGCTCCCATTCGAATCAGATAATGAAGGTAATATAGAATAAGGGATGTCACAAGAGGTATATAGATCTTGAAATGCGTACCGACATTCCTTCTGATGGCCCACACAATCGACTGCAATCTCTTATGGCCTTCGCCGCCTCTCCTTTCCACATTGTTGGAGCGATCTGCTTGATCTGAGCCAAAAGGGTATCATCCTCATTTAGCACGAGTTGCAAGCCTTTATCCACGGCCTAAAACGAGTTCTATAGTGGGATGAGCATTCTCAAAAAGAAGTCTCTTGTGAAAAAGGCCATGTGAAAAGTTTTTGAGAAAATCCTCAAGGGTGCTAATTTCCTTCTTTGCTCGAGGCCTCAAGATCAGAACCTACACTTGATAAGCTCACAAAGCTCAACACGAAATTTTCAAGAAAGGTTGCATTTGTTTTAACAATTCCTGTGCCAGAATTCGTTATAGGCGGACTTTACGATGAAGAGACAGCCATGTGGTGCGGACTGGAACCCGACTGGGACCCTTCCTTGCCGTTTATTACCGTAGTTAGGCGACTCTCATCTTCGTGCCCTCTTCAAGGTTAACGCTCCCTCTGCTACCTAATCACCCAACATGTATACCCTGCCGCGAATGATTAAATAGTCGGTGGGCCTTCCGGGCCAACCGCGCTAAAGGGACGGCGATGCGGGATTGCCGGGGGATATCCAACGAGCAACTGCGTGTTGGTCCACCCCTTACCAGGAAGGTCTTTCAGGACATGGAGCCCTTTTTGAAAACGGTTTTTTGCATGATAAAGGGGCACATGCATGGAGTACAAAACTAGGCTCCATTTTTTCTGAGCGGCCCTCCTAATGCCAAAAAAGGTATGAAAAATCGGTCGAGGGATCGGTCCCGGCTGATGACAAAATTTTGCATTTCATGTTAGCGCATGTTAAATGACTCCAAATGTTACCGCCGATAAAAATAGGTACTGTTCTTACAATCAGGGTCATCATCAACCTTTCTGATTAGCTTTCTGCCCAGAATTGGGGCGAAAATTGTATGGCGCTAAAGCGGCGCCGAGTTGGTGCCCGAGGAGGCTAAAATGGCGCAATATCGCGCCTCCATCAAAAATGGACGTCAGATTCGTAATCAGCGCCTATAATTACCCTTATAGCCGCAGTTTTAGAGATCAAGATTTCGGCCCGAATTCAAAAATTGGGCCATGGGTTAGCCCATAGTCAATACACTTGGAGACAGCTTCGAGATGATAGCAAGCGGCACGTTTGGTTGATAGTTACACTTCCACCGCAGTTCCTGCCCATGGGGCAATCTGGCATCACCCCTTGATCTCGTCGATGCATGGCGTATGCCTGGGTGGGCACTGGCTACGTCGACGAGCATCCTGGACGTTCCTCAACGCCGGCAATCTGCCTTCAAGGGAAATGGAGTAGGTGTTCCTTGCGAAGAAAATGACAACTTCACTTTTCTGGCGTTCGTTAGATGCAGTTGGTGTGATCCGCGCCTGTGATTCAGATGCTTCATTGAGTTTTACCATAACTGCTAGTTATTTATTGCTTGTAAACGGAATTTCGTACACAACTGAAAAAACATGGTACTACGAAATATCGCAGAATTGTGGGAGAAAGTTCTTGGAAATGACACCTATAGGCTTTAAGTTCACGCGCAAGCACATGCAAATGCAAAAAAGTGATAATCGGAAAAATGCAAAAATCCGAGCATGGAGGGGAACCGAACCAACAACTTCGAACAAACCGTGCCAACCAGAGTCCATCACGCTATCCACTCGACCATCCGACCACCGCTGTACAATGAATGTCAACGACTCTGATGAAACTTCCTTGTGCTTTTGAGCACTTATTATATACAATTTTTGGTATTGGCTTTATTCCACGCTGTTTTCAACGTTCAGGTGAAGAAAACCTTCTATTGTGCGTCCACTTAACATAACGAGTGATATAAACCACGTTGAAGGTGTGAAAAACTCCGATTTCTGAAGAAATTTTTTTCACTCCTTTTTTGGCATTCAGAGGGCCGCTCAGAAAAAATGGAGCCTAGTTTTGTACTCCATGCATGTGCCCCTTTATCATGCAAAAAACCGTTTTCAAAAAGGGCTCCATGTCCTGAAAGACCTTCCTGGTAAGGGATCTCTTGACCCTCACTGGTAAGTTTGCCCTTTCTTCGACTTTGTCTTGTCGCTGGATCCTTCCGTGGCGGTTCACTATTGCTGTTCTAACGAAACGCACTTATCTCACCTGTTTGATGAGTGCGATTTCGAATGGAGAAACAAATAGGCGCCGCACGAGAAGAAACTACAGTAGGAAGTCAAAAGGTGATCGCCAAGTCGATAGTTTACAATTTATTATCGCATGATGCAACGCGCGTCCGAATTGATTACTATGTTTTCGCTAGTATTTTTATATCCTCAAAAATCAGGATATCAAAGGAAATTCAAGGCGAAACGCTGATTTTTTCCTAGCAGAAAGGGAGGAGCACGAAAAACCGTTTCGGCGAACACTTTTGACCGTTACTGTACTTATGGTTAGTCCCTTAGTATTGAGTAAGAGGGATACACCCACATGGTTCCGAATGAAGATTAACTGCTGACGATCGAACCATCACTAAGGATAATCATACAAAGCTTACCCGCCCATTGAGCTGATCTTAGAAAGGGTCTTCGCGAGGGGGCCTTCAACTGTTCCCCACTGTAATTATCAACCCTATGGTGTCCCAAACCACTCTTCCCTAACAAGGCTCAACACCACTCTCATCACCATGACAGTTCTATAATGTCTGGATCTAAGGGCAGTCGGGACACACTCAAACTCTACTCACATTTCCCTCGGAAATTGCCGTCAAGCAGAGGGCAAAGATTACACAGAGGAAATGGCGAATACTCTATTTCTGCCCATCTCACACGAATTTAGTGAGGATTTCACCAAAATCATCAAGTATCCGTCAGAAACGCCCCTCTATCTGCATCCACGACCCCTACGATTTCTCCCACTACGGCCCTTTTTGAAAACCCCACTACGACTTATCTTCAAGGCCAAGAAACAAAAATCTGAATGGAGCTGCTCGTTGAAATTGGTTGACTGTAGTCGTATGCGAGCCATAAGAAGCTATCCGAGTCGCTGATTGGGAGTTCTCTTTTTTTTTATAATATTCTACGAAACTAGGAGCAACCAAATTCTTCTACAAACGGAGTTAGCAAACCAAAAGCCTCCTCAAAGGCTTTTCTCAACTTCGGCACAAAGAAAAAAATCGAACCTTTTGGAGTTTCTGAGAGAAGTCACCCAAATGCTTCACATAGGTTGAAGTAGCCGTGGCAGGTATCGGCCAGTGTTCGACAAGAATGTGCACCTTCTCCTGGCTTATCGCGAATGAATTCAGAGCCTTTGCTAGAAGGGCTCTTGTCTGTTCAGGTGTGGGAAGACCATAGAATAAATTCGCCGATACGGTTGCAAAACGCGGAACCATCCTGTCATCAATGAAATGAACAGTGAACGTGACTAGAGAGTCCTTTCCTGCCGGTAGTACCCTCACATCTGCGGAAAAGCTCACGAACAAGGCCGAATTAAGCATTGTTCTCATCTTTGTTATGTATTCATCATACAACGCATTCAATGAGTTTTCAGTGAAATGGACTCGAGGCTTCAGGTGGAAGCGAGGAGAAATCACGCTGATGAGGTTACGGAATCCTGGACTCTCGACGAAAGACGAGGGCAAAGCAGCGGTGCACAGCAGCTGCGTAATGGCTTTTTCAATGTTATCCATGCGGTCTCGATGAGGTGGTTCCCAGATGGTCGCCTCCGAGACTGATGCAAAAGATGTACCGGCTTTACAGCTCGGTCGTTTCGGTTGCGAAGGCTCAGGACCAGCTTCAGGCTCTGATTTCCAGATTCGTTTCAGGCCGTGCGCCAAGGCCATAGCCCGTTCGGCAGCAGTCGCACGTTCGTACTTGGTTCGATCTTCGCGATCTTTGAAACAGCTGTAGAGGTCTGGGTGTTTCTTTCGCAAGTGATGGCGCAGAGAAGACGTCGTGCAGTCCTTCGGTTTCGGGATTGCCCAACTGCAGGTATTGCATATCAGCATATTCTCGTGCACCAGAAAATACTCGCTGTATTTTCCCATCTGAAAAATATCTAAATTAAAACACTGACATTTCATCGGCAATTTTCTAAAAAGTGCGCGACGACTAGAAACATTTTATGGAAAGGAAAATAATATGCCATTCAAACTCCTAATGACCACAACTGAATTTCTTGATTTTTGATTCTGAATATTCTTTTTTTTTGAGGTTTTTTGAAATAAAAGCGTTGGAGCCCGGCAGTGTCCATGAAAGAATGAATGATGCGTTGTAATAGCACAACCTCGCGTTTCTTTGGAAAACATCTAAGAAAAAACCCATCCAAAAGCTCTCACGAAGAGTTCGGGCCAGCCAGCCCTGTTAGAGGTTCAGTGACATTAAAACAAGACCAACGGCCCAGCATCAACAAATGTCTAGAAGGCAATTCTAACAGCAACACTCTGCAGTAGAAAAGGTGCATATGTGAACAGGCAATCGAACTATGCTTGGGCCTACTCAGGAATGAGTGATTTCGAAAAAGTTAAGCATCTAGAAGATTGTCTCTTCAGTTGATTCAAGCCAAGGATGGAGGTACAGAAAGGAGCACTTCTCTTGGCAAGAAATCCCGTCAAGTGGAGACCCAAGCGAGCGTTGAAGAGAGACACAACTTTTCTAGAGCGAAATCCTTAAAGGAATCCTTCGCGGAAAATTCTTGCATTCTTTTCAACATGAATGTATCAGTTGTGATCACTAGATGCAATACACAAAGTTTTACGCATGAAGGTTCGGTCTCCGAAGAGCAACAAACTCGCGAAAATCCATTCTATGGACATCGAAGGTAATTCGGGCGGGGCATGGAATAAGTCCGCACTGGGGCGCCTACGTATCAGGCGACGCAATGGAAGAATCGGGTTAAAGCGTGCGATTTTGGAGAGTAGAGACAAATCGATCGATAGAATAGGATGGAGTAGAAGTGTAAGATGTGAATGCAATAAGCAGAAGGCCAGAAAGAGTTTCTAGTGAAGGCACTCCAAGAACCAAGTTTGAAGCATCCCCGTCGCCAGCATTTGTGAAAGACGTCCGTGGGGCTTTGAAACGCGTAGCAGCCTTTTCGTTTTTCGAATTTTTTACCAAAAAAATGCAATTTTTCTGTTCTTTCCATTCTTATCGTGGATGATGAGGTCTCAAGCCAGTGATGATGGCTGAAATTGAATCATGATTTTTCCGTGAAGGATTCCTTTATTGCTATCGAAAAACTTTCGCTATCAGTAAACGAAGCAGCAGTGAAACGATATTAATTCGTTTTCTATTCACTTATAATAACACACCTATATACGTGACTATCCCTTGCGAGCGGAATTCAGTATAAACTGGCCGCTATGGGCAGAGTCAACCCTGCGTTGCGCAGTTTTCAACGGCCACGTTGCGCAGTTTCGCCCGATTAGACACGTTCTCTCGCGCGAACATTCACACTCGCATGCTCGAGCCGTCTGTGTCTCCGCCCATACAGCGTGCGTTGAGGATCTCTCGACGTGCCGTTGCGAACTGCGCAACGCAGGGTTGACTCTGCTAGGAAGTTAAAAGAAGAAATCGTTCAAAATTAGTCAGTTTTTACATGTGGTGCATGCCCAACAAGACGACTCAAACAAATCAAGATCCAGTATTGAACTGCATTGGTCCATTGTTGATATGCGGATATTCGCACAAGGGTCATTTTATTCCTGCTTACTCCCCGCTATAATTCTTACACAAAGCTCGACCACAGCCTCGAATTCCCTAATCTGTGTTTCATCACGATTGTCGACAATATGCCCACCGATATATGACGCGGAATGCGGAAATTCAGACCGGAGGACGGAAGCAAAGTCGACTTCGGGTGAATGTGGCGGATCTGCGGCAACGACTTGACCATCATACCTTCTTAAACACGCCCTTTGTTAAATTGATAAGTAATATAACCAGGAAGTAAGACTGGAATAGAACTACACGGATGGCCTGCCCCAATCCACCCATGTCGGATACGTTAAATCTGCACGTTCACATTCGACTGCATCAAAATCGTCTAATACCTGTCCTAGATCAAGCAGGGATTATTCGCAAGCTGAATCGGTCTTCAGAGTGATTTAGTTCACGGAATAGGGCTGAAGACTCATGTTTATTTGCAGTTGGGGCAGTGGGGGAGGGTGTGGAAGAAGAAAGCTGTGGCTGAGGAGGTTATTCTCGAGGATAGTCAGCGTTAGAACAATGTGCTTTCTCATTCTAAAAACTTTAGTACTCTTGACTCCTCTATACAGAGTGATCACCAGGTAAAGCCAGACCAACAAGAGAGCTTGCTCACGTGGTGGGGCGGTTTTTGAAAACGGTTTCTGCTGGGAGGACTCTCACGTAAGCTACAAAACAGGGTTTCATTTTGCTGTGGGGGGGGGGGCTCCCAATACTAGGAAAGGAGCAGATAAATGTGTTAGAGGAGTGCACTGAGAGATGAAATTCAGATTCTAACTTAGGAAGACCCTCCTACATGCTTTTATTTTGAATATTCCTTGTTTTTCTTATGGTTTCTATTTTGGTGAACATGAAGATTGATTATGGAAAATGGGTAGTGGAATTTTCTGAGCTTTCCAAGTATTAGGCTGACAGCAATCAAAGGATGAGAGATGTGCTAGAGGTGCCGTGTCTTACTTAAAGGCGAAGTTAAAGATTAGAAGAAAGCCCATCAGAATTGGGGAATATGTGGTCCGAAAAGCCGGGATGAAAAAAAAACTATCTCTATGAGAAATGGCTCAGAACCCGAGAAATGGGGACCTATCCTTGCCTGTTGATTTCCTTACTGATGCGCTCTCATCGATGCTGCCCTCAACACTAACGCTCTCTCTGCTAACGGCTAGAGACCTGCGGCGAGTGGTTAGCCAGTCGGTGGGCGTACCGCGCCGATAGCGCCGCGGGGAGGGCCATGCTAGATCGGGAGCATATCCTTCGCTGCGAATTGCGTGTCGGTCCGCACCCTCAGGGTCCGCCTGTCTCCCCAGCATGTTTCCCATTCTTCGACTTTCGACCTTATCGTAGAATCCTCCTTTGAACGCTCCACTCGTGTTGGACAACGAATCGTTCTCTCTCACCGTGGTCGACGAGTGGGTTACAATGGAGGATAAGGAAACGCCGCAAAAAACAGCCACTGGGTCGTTAAGACAGACAGCGCTCTTTGCAAAAAGTCTCTTTCTGTCCTAGCACACCAGATACCTTTCACCCGTGTCAAGCTGTCCTACCTTTACCCCTACCCTTAATTGGCTAAATGCTCTGGATCATGGACCCTCATTTCGTACTGATGTTATCACTATGTAGTTGAGAGGGCGTGGACGAGCACCGCACCGCTTTTCGTCCGCCACAGGAAACCATAACACCATTTGATCCTGCCCGGATAGGATCATGTGTGGGATTTGGGGCAGGGTCAACCGTGCGTTGCGCAGATTTCATAATTTTTACAACCCCCTACCCTTGGGAGGGGGTTGTAAAAATCTACCGGTACGACCTCGCTGTATTAGTTATTGTGTCTTTTCACATATTTTAGGCCCATCATCGGTGTATGGGCCGTCACCGACATGGAGAGGTGGTGGACAAATCCGCGCGCTTTGTCTCGCTCAGAGGACGGGAATCGAGGCAACATGAAATTTACTCATTAAATAGAAGAATTTCCAAATTTTTGCGTAAACCTAGGCATGGTAGAATCGCAATTAGTTCTTCTTTCAGAAACCTGTACAGACTTGTCAGACATTTTCGAACTCTCGAAGAGCCTTTTCTGAACTGATCCTATTGCCAGCAATTATTATGCGATGCAAACATCTTCATTCATAAGGCTATATCTTCCTTCAAATTAAGAAAGAAAAAACCTTTATAAACAAAACAATTAAAATGGTTCGTTTCGCTCCTTCCTCAGACGAACCTTATTATTTCGTCAATCCCCGGAGCTCATCAGTGAGTTGGGAAAAGCGGTCTAATGAGATAGGATACAAATTTAAGAAGTCAGACCGTTTCCTTTTGAAAAGCTCTCGAACTTAGCTCTCGAACTTATGTAAATGTTCAGTTTTCCAAGAAACCGTCCCGATGATCCGTTTTTTTTTGTGCATGCGCGAGTTTTCATCAGTCAAACGTTCATAACTTCCTTTATTATCAACTTTGCAGATTTTCAAAACTAGTTGTAAACTAGAACATCAGCGCTTCCAGAGAAATACAGCACATTGTTTGAGATCACCTTCTCCAAAAATAGTCCCGTTGTTCCTTTTTTCAGGGGTTTGTTGGTCCAATTTTTGAGAACGCGCGAGTTTTCTCATTCCAAACGTTCATAACTTTCTTCATTATCAAACTTTTTGGCAGATTTCAAAACTAATTAGAAACTAGAAGATTGACCATTTTAGGAAAATATTATGAGCTTTTCAAATGACCGCTCTTTCGAAAAATCGTCCCGTTGTTCTGCTTTTTCCCTCAGTTGGCTTTTTTGGGACATTTCCTCTTCAAACGCGATTTTTCACTTTCACTTTTCAAAGATGATTACTTTCTTCTCACAGAAGAGCGGTTCACTGAATAACGGTTTAAAGACCACTGTAGATTCAAGAAGATCAGTACTATAAACAGATGCGTAGAATATTTTGCAGGAAAACTTGCTCCGCCATAGGTTTCCCATGAAAGTGCTCCAGGGTTCAATCCGCAGCTGACTTCGCTGCACTTTCTTCCTTTCTGATGCGTTTAGAAGCAGAGCAGTTTTCTGAAAGATTACCGCTCGTTGCCTTGAACGTAACAGTAAGAAAGCTCGCTCCTAGATGCGCCATTCATCGTCTGCGGTGATGTAGTGGCATGTCAGGGTGAAATCTGTCATCTCTTGCCCATCACCGCGCGATTAGCAAATTCGGATTTCGAGGAATGGTATTTAAGGGTACAACTACCTCCTCTCCAATCGGCAAATCGGAACCCCTCGACATGATCTTTGCGGCAAGGGCGTTGACCTAGTTGTGGACCGTATCTAACATGAGCCGCACCGCCGCCAGCGTGCTGGACTTCACCTTCAACGAGGGAG